CAATTAAAGAACAGAAGATATCATTAGAAAATGAACAATATGTATAGTATCAAAGCAATCAGATTGTGGTTTTTAACAAGAAGTCGAAAATATCACTTTACCAAACAATGGCAAAAATACTAATCAAAATTAGAGAATTAAAAATATCATCACAAAATGAACAAATCTAAGAGAGGTCTACCCAAGATACATATACACAATAATAGATTATCTAAAAATGAAAATTGATGTAATATTTTAATAATAAAGTTTATAAGATCTAACCATTAGATTTAGTATCAAACTTTTTCTGATATCAGAAAATAACTAAAATAGGCGACTTGAAAGATGGCTCTAATTATATCTTCCATCTAATTTCTAATAAAGAATGTCCCATACTAATTTTAGATCTATTTAACTGGTTTCATTAGACTTATCAGTATTATAGACAATAATAACGTCCGATAACTGTAAAACGTATCTATACAGTCGTTTATTTGAAAGTAAATGTGTGTTGACTTTTAAAGTTGTTACATGTACATTGATCTCTATACGTTGTTAAACTTGAAATGTGCTGCTTGGTTACAACATGGTTCTGACAAGTTTATAAGCATGTATTACATCATTCTGACATTTGAACTGGCCCAGAATTGTGTTAACTATTATTGCTCAATTGAAATATACACAAAAGGTAGTATCATATGGTCACCCAAATTACTATGGTATCAGCGCTATTGTGCGTATATCCAAAAGCCACAACATTTACACGTAGGCTGGTGTGAACACAAGATTATTAAGGTGTTCATATGTTAACTGTGGCTAACCTAGGGAGCCTTGTGCTCACAGCATCCACTGATCTGATAAAGAAATCGGCCCTGAAACGAATTTTTGGTATTTCAAGCACAGCGGGTCCGCGTCGCTTGGACAAACAGCCACATTGCTTTCGTTTCGCCCGCGATTCTTGAAATCCTGTCCTATTTGTGGTATTTGTAATTGACGGTCAATTGCCAAATAACTTAATCATCATTATTTTAGTGTAAAATGCTAAATGTTTTATGTTTTTATGTTTTGTTATGAATACAGAAATAAATAAATCGTTCATGTATATATAAGTCATACCCTGTCTATTTATTATGCCTACCGTCCTTGCCCTAAGGCGATGTAACGCATATCCAGGGTTCTTGCCACGCTGGACGGCGGTGGTCGGCCCGACCGGCACTAAAAATGAGCGTCCACCATGGAAATGCTTCCGGCCAGGACTATTGTCCGATTGTTATTATAATTATGTACCGACCGACAAGCATCCTGTCAGTCATAGATTATAATTTGTAAACAATAGACCTAGTCGCACGATACGTAGCGGCTAGTCAATTTTGTGAAATTATCATCTCTTTGTTTGTAAGTAAATACTTTCTGTGATACAGTTTTTAGATTGAAAGCTAAAATTCTTTCAAAATCAATTCCACCCCGATATAACATGGTCAAAGCGGAGTTCACAATCTGACAGTTTACGCTACTCAAGAAAAAAATCAACGTATTTATTGCGTGATTTGGTAAAATACATTTGAACTGTTATCAACAAGATTTATGTAAAAACTCTTTTTCCCAAGACCTATTTTACCTTTTAAAAATTGCTAATCACCTCTTTCGATAACCATTGTGCAGTTTTCAACTGAAAACAATGTCAACACATCGTGCTTGGACATCGCTTTACTTCCGCAATGTAATTTTTATGATCACTACCATTCAGATAACTTCGGATTCTACCGGCATTACCATGCGGTATTCTGATTGGTTACTGGAATTATTGACCCATCAGGTCGAAGGACACATGCTGGCCACCGAGGCGATCAAGTGATCAAAAATATCCACTCCCGATAAAACTAAGTTAAATTTTACATTTATTTCTTATCAAAAAAACGAAGTAACATTTTTTGCTTGGCATCATGACTGAGAAAGAGGAATTATTGGTATAATTGGTGTATAACATAGCGAAGTAAGTTATGTCACTTCGTAACTTTGAAAGTTCGGAAGTTTTATTTGATCGCTCATTACTGTGAATATATATACGTTTTAGAAATTGATGGTACGAATAATAAGTTACAACAATACTCCAAATAATTACGTGGTCGATTTTTTGAATAAATAAGATCATGAAAATATTCCTGGCTGAAACGTTTCAAATGCGTTTTATTTAACTTTTTACAATATACATTAATATTGCAAACAATAATTTATTTGTTTCTGTTTTTTAGTCTGCAGCATTTGCATTTCGAATATATTTAATTTTTAAATTCAAACTCTTCTAAATTGTGAAACATAATGTCTAATTCCAAAAGATATTTGCACTACGATCGAACTCATTAATATTCATTGCTAATTAATATTCATATAGCTCATTAATATTCATGACCGACCGACACTCACGTTAGGCTGGCGAGATCCCTGCATATCGTGACATCATGACCTACATTGTACATGTATGCATGCTGGGTTACAAAGAGGATTCCGATCGAGGTAAGAAAAATGGTGGCGCAGAGTGCATGTTTTTTCGTGATGTTTAAAAACAACATTTTGATTTTGATGTAATTTCTATGATAATCGTCAATGAATCGTTTTAATTAACAAAACATTATAAGTTTGTGTATTTTTAAACCAAAAAGTCAGGGATCGATGATCGCAACAGCAGCGGTGAATACCCGTTCAATGCAATGCCATCAGCTGACAATGTTACGGTGATCATAGCGTCATGCATAAGGTATAGATAGATCAATGACAAACCACTGACTTAAGTTTTGAAATGCTGTTGTAGAAAAAAAATGCCACTATTGATTTACTAATTTCTTCATATTTTAACCCGCAATCTGGCAGACTTTCAAAAATGTTTTTCCCCACATAATATGAACTGACAGAGAAATGGGCACTAAAACTGACCATGGATAATAATATATTCACTGACTGGCTATAAGTATTTACATTTATTGTAGTTATTGTATCACAATGTTTGTTGGGGAAACTAATTATCATGCTTATACAATGCACCTCAAGACATAGTTGTAATTCACATTGCATTACAAAAATGTCTTTGAAAATTGATAGAAAATTGTGCCGGTACAACACAGCATTCGGATTAGATAATAACAGACTTGACCTATCAGGTCAAAGGACGTTGTTGCAGGTGAAATAGTACAGATAACATGGCAAAGATAGCTTTACATCAACAGTTTGCCTCTGATCAAACACACTCAAAATGAGAATACCCCCGGTAATGAAGATTTTGACTAAAACTTTTTCCCACAGACCCTAATAACTTTTACATTGTAAATTCTGATTGAATATAAATAATATTGTAGTAAAATGTGCATACTTGGTAATTATTTATGTTCTGCATTGTAAGAGTGGGTTGAATATCTACACATATGGTAAGTTGTAACTAAATATATATTTTATTTTTATATAGCTAAGTAGGATTTAGCTCATTTTTATTTGCAGTGGTTTATATGGTTTACCCACATGCTAAGATAAAAAAAATGTAACATACAGATTGTAATTAACTACTCTGAAATACTTTATTTTAGCTGGAATTAATTTTCACTGAAAATATTTTTTGAGTGTTTGTAAGGATTTTATTTTCACTGGTTTTTGACAAGTTGAATGTAAAATATATGAAAACAGTATATTCGCTGGATTTTATTTTCACAGAATTATTCCTACAGTGAAAATTAATTCTTAGCAAAAATAAAGTATTTTACAGTACCAGGTAAGCATTTTAAACATCTTCAAAACTCTACCATACTCTTAAACCTTTAGTTTCCACCAATTACCGTACAAATATAAACTCTTTTTTCATAATTATGAGACTTTTAATCTTTAACAAACATAAGTGACATATTTTGTCTTAAGTGTTAGGGACACTCAAGGGACACTCACTCAAAGAACACACTGAATCACATCATACGTATATGCAAACACATTATTTTGACTTCTATTAATAGACATGATTGTTTTCACTGCTGTTTAAGGAAAATACGTTACAATTTTCCTTGTATATTGACAACTGACTACATCATTCACTCTCTGCCTATCATCAGGTAATACTGAGTCACTATTTTAGAGAAAATATTTGGAGATGGGGCCAGGGAGTACAGGGTTTTTGTGTTGATGTAGATGAGGGGTGCAGAGTTTGGTAAATAATTATTATTTTAACAATATGTTTCAAATCCTAAACCTAAATCATGCTGAACTTCACTGAAACCTGTTAAATATACGGACACCAAACCCTAACCCTAATTAAAAAAAAAAAGAGAGTATAATCTTGAATTATTGCACTCATTTCTTGTGCAATTAAAATGGGCGTATGACACACGCCAATGACCAGAGTTCTACTACAGCCATAATAATACAAACGTACAGAACATATTATTATTATATTAACAAATTTAAAAGACTATTCTAGGGAAATACCTTGGTACGACATCGTCAGGAGCTCATCACCGCTATTATAAATCACAACCGCTGACGCATTGTGAGCGATAGCATTTGTAAATTTATCGGTAAATGTACAGTTTCCTCGACTGATTAGCGCAATCCATGGCTGGGAGACTTTTGTGAAATCGTTCTGTAATGGCGCACATCCATATTTGGGTTTCGTGGGGACAACCCATCCTTTTGCATTCTGAATTAACTGCGAGCCATAACGACCAGATTCGTGTTTCTCTGACACAACCTGACCTGTATGTGGGTCTTTATATGTAATATTCACCCAGGCTGTTGTCCACTGAATGTCGTTCTCGGCGTACACTTCAGAGTTCACTATGGGGAAAGTCCAAACAACAAACAACGATGAAATCGTTGTCCATGATAGCTTCCACATCTTCCCTCGCGAAAAAACATTCAATCGAGACCGTCAGTATCGACGAAACTTAGTTCTCACGCTGGTGAAGAGTTAGTTTCTCCAAACAAAAAAATAATATTCATCAAAACACCTTAGAAATTGGTACAATAAACGCAGAACAACCATGATCGCCTAAAATTTAATGGCGGTCTCTAAATAGCACTAAATAACATTGGTCACGTGTGGGGTTTGAGAATGTACCATTGGCTGAATGGATAATAATGCTATACTTTAGTATATCGCCACCAACTTCAGAGCGGAAATAGCGTGACAAAAACAAAATCAAACAAGATATCGTATGAAACAATAAGAAATCACATTGAAGTTATACGCGATCTCATTCATAAATGTCACAATGGCAACACAGACTGTTTTATTTTAAACAAACACGCTTCTGTGACTCTTTCAAGCATTAAACTGATAACAGACTGAACAGAACTGGTTGCTAAGGTGCATCAGAAGCACATAACAGAATATTTTATTTATATTTATAGTTAATTTTATTCTTCATGGTAACTGTAACATTGTAGTCTTAAGCAGTATTGTTTTTATTAAAATGTTGCTATTTTATTTCCAACCCCTATTAGAATTTTTTTGTATTATAATCATAGAGGTCCGGAAAGACGGGTGATGGTTTTACGATTGGTTAATAAACTACAGCAGAATATCCTCTATATCTGTATGTACTTGTAACGTTTATGGGCGCTTGTATGGATATATAGAGGCTAACAAATGCAATTTATCCAAAAATGCAGCGACTAATGCTCCATTTTCTGAAAAGCGCAACGATAAAATACATCAAAGATAAGTAGTATCAGAGGCACATTACTTGGGGTTTGCAACTACGGTGACATGATACCAAGATCCCGTTACAATCTCGCGCTCGCATAAGCGTTCCAACTCAGAAAAATGCGAATGCGCATGCCCGAGGTAACTAGGATACTGGGATGTCCAGGTGGATCAAAATAGCTGCTCACGATATGACGGATTACGATAACTATATTTTCTGTATCTTTTCGATGTAATACATTTTTTCACTATGAATGTGGTAATACGTGTTTTATTGTTTTATTACAAACCGCCTATGTCATGTCAGAAGGTAGTAGCATCAGTCTCGCTAACTACGAGATGAGACTTGAATGGGATCTTGACATGATGTCACCATACAGTACTATGTGCGTTGCAAACCCCAAGTAATGTACCTCTGGTAGTATTTTAATCGTAAAAATCGTAATATTCATATTATTTTAAAATGTACGTATATAAGAAGACAGTACAAATATAGTTCAATCATATGTATGTGGAAAAAGGCCGCTTCTCCGAGAAAATCAATCTTGTAGTATCTTTGATTTCTCATGTACATACCGTTGCCATGGTACCATATTCGCTCGATAGAAATGCATCTGAAAACAAGGTATACGTGCGAGCAAAAATATTTTTAAAATCAATGTGTACAGGTGAAATATTTCTCGCAGAATGCAAGAGTTTAAACTCCGACGTCCGGAGCACAATTGTATGTTTATGTATGTTTAGTTCAGTTAACGCTATTGTGGTATTTATTACGAGTTATCATTATTTTTTACGTCGATGTAGCATTGCAAGATAATACCGGTTTCACCAACAAATAAATATGCATTGCTAACGACGGTTTTTATTCATTTTATTCATTACTACTGTTGAGACCAAATTTCTTTATGTTCAGTTTGCGGTAGAGCGCCCTCTTTGGTAGATGGGGATTAGGCTTTTGTTTGTAAGCAAATAACACCGAATAAACCTGTTTGACCTGGTCTCGTGCAGAGTCAGCCGTTCGTTGATCAGAGAAACTTGTTGTGTAGTGAGCGGCGCTAAGTAAAGCACGCTGGTATGTACAGTTTGTTATTCTACTATGTTTTCCAATTCATTTTTTAGTATACAGTTGACATTATTGTATATTTCTGAGAGGTTTTGTTGCTGAATTGTTTCAACTATGTGACTTCTGCTCGGTACGTTATGTTATCGCTCGCGACTCATTTGCATATGTTTACGCTGACTGATTTCACTAGTGAGGGTATTTGCTGTATTTTACGTCTGATTTATTGATTTATGCATAGTTTTGTAATTCTATGTCTTCAGAAATATTGTATTTGTTATATTCTATAGAATATTTCTATAGAAATATTGTATTTGTTATATTCTATAGAATTTTACCGGTATCTAGTGGTTTCTGGTTTATAGACAATATTTTATTATTTGCTTTCCCAGTATTGAAGGACAGTTATGTAAAGCAAGCCGTTAGCACAAGCTGATGTTAGTCCCTTCCATTGGAGGTGTTGGGAAATTGTTTCGGTGAGACATGGTTCTTTATGCTATTATACTTACTGTGTTTACAGCATTATATTTTATTGGATTAAATTTTCTTGTGTGACTTGTACATGTATATGCCTATGGATATTTATGTTTGTATTTTGAGAATATTTGAGTACTGTATTTATTGATTTCTTTGTGTATCTTTCAGTTAATCGTATCGTGTCATATCGCATGTAACGCATGGTTATGTGATAGTAACTCTCAAGTCAAGCCTCCATGGTGTTATTTAATTTCATTGCATGAAAGGGACCCACAACTACAGTATCGGACCATATCTAGCTGCACTTTCTTCCATCGTCATGTCATACTAGTATGAATCGGAATATGTTCTCTTAAATTCACCATGATATCGTGATTTCGTTTCGTGCAGAGCAAATCTCGGCACGTGCCAGTTTCGACCCCGAGCATCTACCAGAACTGAGATCGATTTTTTTCCGTTCACACACACACACACACACGTTTCGGCACGTGCCGACTCGGTTCTGAGTCTCGGCACGTGACGAGATCTCTAACGTGAACGCCACTATTATATTCAATAAATTGTTTATTAATTCATTTGTTTTTGTTTTTCTTGTTTTGTACATAGTATCATTAAATAAGTAAAAAATAAACACATATATTCGTTGTAAATTTATGGTGATTACATACATGACAACAAGATGTGTTTCTGTCACTGGGATGATACATTGATATATGATATTGTTAGCTGAAAATATCAATAGCTATATTACTTTGAATGAAACTGCAGAATCATCTATGTAGACTGCTCCCACTACCTCCCTATTCCTTGCAAATATTGCAATATTCGTAGAAACATTGTTTGGGATATTTATTTGAACTACAGAATTTTAAATTTCAACAAACTGACCATTTTCACGAGGGTTACGTGTAACTAGAGTGCAGCGAAAACTGCTCAGATTCAAGTGCGATTCACTAGTATGGATTTGTTCAAAAGCATTGCCTTAAATATCAAAATGGTAAATTATTGAACCGTACGACCGTTCTACATTTAGCGTTTCTATTACAATGATGTAAGAGAGGTTTATATTAATAAGAACTTATTACACATGTGTACCGCTCGAGGACACTGTATGGTAAAATACATAGCAACAAATTTGGGAAAGAATAGAATGTTACATTACAAAACAATATTATTTTCCTACGTTCTACCCCTCTTCATTCAAATTACTGTTTTGTAGATTGTTTTTTTCAGATACTTTGCTACGTGCATGCTACAATTATTAATTTTAATAAATTCTGATATTTTGTTTGTTGTTACAAAAATATTTATACAGTTATATAGTTTTTCTTCGTTAAAGAAAAAACAGTCAAGGATTAAGTGCTCCTCATCTTCAATATTATTCGTTTTACATTTTTTTGGTAAAATCATCAATGTATCAAGGCATTAGTAGAGAGGTGGATAGTGAGTGGAATGTCACATAGATTCTAGGAATGTGCCTAGGCATTAGTGGAGTGGTGGATAGTGAGTAGAATGTCACGTAGATTCTAGGAATGTACCTAGGCATTAGTGGAGTGGTGGATAGTGAGTAGAATATCACGTAGATTCTAGGTATGTACCTAGGCATTAGTGGAGTGGTGGATAGTGAGTGGAATGTCACATAGATTCTAGGAATGTACCTAGGCATTAGTGGAGTGGTGGACAGTGAGTGGAATGTCACATCGATTATAAGACCATGCCTAGGCATTAGTGAAGTGGTGGATAATTGGATAGTAAGTAGAATGTCACATAGATTCTAGGAATATACTTCGTCATTAGTGGAGTGGTGGATAGTGAGTGGAATGTCACAGATTCTAGGAATGTACCCAGACATTAGTGGAGCGATGGATAGTGAGTGGAAAGGCACATAGATTCCAAGACCATGCCTAGGCATTAGTGGAGTGGTGGATAGTGAGTAGAATGTCACGTAGATTATAGGAATGTACCTAGGCATTAGTGGAGTGGTGGATAGTGAGTAGAATGTCACGTAGATTCTAGGTATGTACCTAGGCATTAGTGAAGTGGTGGATAGTGAGTGGAATGTCACATAGATTCTAGGAATGTACCTAGGCATTAATGGAGCGATGCATAGTGAGTGGAATGCCACATAGATTTGAGGACCGTGCCTAGGCATTAGTGGAGTGGTGGACAGTGAGTGGAATGTCACATAGATTCTAGGAATGTACCTAGGCATTAGTGGAGTGGTGGATAGTGAGTGGAATGTCACATAGATTCTAGGAATGTACCTAGGCATTAGTGGAGTGGTGGATAGTGAGTGGAATGTCACATAGATTCTAGGAATGTGCCTAGGTATTAGTGGAATGGTGGATATTGAGTGGAATGTCATAGATTCCAATACCATGCCTAGGCATTAGTGGAGTGGTGGACAGTGAGTGGAATGTCACATGGATTCTGGGAATGTACCTAGGCATTAGTGGAGTGGTGGACAGTGAGTTCAATGTCACATAGATTATAAGACCATGCCTAGGCATTAGTGGAGTGGTGGACAGTGAGTTCAATGTCACATAGATTATAAGACCATGCCTAGGCATTAGTGGAGTGGTGGACAGTGAGTTGAATGTCACATAGATTATAAGACCATGCCTAGGCATTAGTGGAGTGGTGGATAATTGGATAGTAAGTAGAATGTCACATAGATTCTAGGAATATACTTCGTCATTAGTGGAGTGGTGGAATGTCACATATATTCTAGGAATGTACCCAGACATTAGTGGAGTGATGGATAGTGAGTGGAATGGCACATAGATTCCAAGACCATGCCTAGGCATTAGTGGAGTGGTGGACAGTGAGTTCAATGTCACATAGATTATAAGACCATGCCTAGGCATTAGTGGAGTGGTGGACAGTGAGTTCAATGTCACATAAATTATAAGACCATGCCTGGGCATTAGTGGAGTGGTGGACAGTGAGTTCAATGTCACATAGATTATAAGACCACGCCTAGGCATTAGTGGAGTGGTGGACAGTGAGTTCAATGTCACATAG